AAGGTAGCATTGGTATTTTAGCATCCACCTCCAAATAGAGCTATCCATCATACGCACAGCAAGTGCCTTTGGCTGCCCTTCAGATTCAACAGTTGGTCACCTTTGAGAGGCCACAGCTTTTCTCTGAGGCTCAGCTTTCTCTCCTGTAAAATGAAGAGAGAGGATGAAATTGCCATCAGCATTCCATTGAGTCCTCCATTCTGAGCAGTGAGGAAATTCTGACTCTTTTCATCACCAGTGACAAGTTCTTACAGGACTCACAGGCACCCTTTTCTTCTTGGCTGCTGGACCCTCCATCCATACATCTTTAAGGTGGGGGGGAGGGGGCTCCTTGTAGTACATGAGCCCTTCCTTTTGTCTACAGCAGCTTTTGTTGAGAGAACAGGACATGCATTGATCTCACCTGGTCTCAGCCCCTAGGCAGCCAGTTCAGAGACCTACCATGCCACTGAGTTTCATTGAGAAAAGTGCTTTGTAAACAGTGAAGTCTGAGATGCCCATTTCTATCTCAAATGAGAATGAGGGTTGTTCCTTTATAGGAGAATATATCCTTCATTAGAGAGGCCTTTTAAAAAAACATCTGTACTTCTGTCCATGGTGGACAGTAGAACCCTCAGCCGTCTTGTCACCCCCAGCTGGTACCAGGATTGCTGCCTGCTCACCTCGGCTCTTCTCCAGGGAGCCTGAGCCACATCAACACTATCTGTGGTATTTATTTCTGCCTCTTTCAGTCACAGTAAAAATAGAGAAACAGGAAAAGGAAGCAAACTTCTTTCATCTACTCTCTTCTTTCTTCCTTTTTTAACTGTATAAATTTAAGGAGTACAGCATGAAGATTTGATAAATGTATCCATGAAATGTATCGGTGAAATAATTGCTATAGGTAAACCATTTCACATAACTCTCAAATCCCATATTCACCTCCTATTATGACCATTTTTTTGGAGGGGGTTCACCAAGGACTGAACTTGGGGGCACTGAACTGCTGAGCCACATCCTCAGCCCTTTGGTTGTATTTTATTTTGAGACAGGATCTCACTGAGTTGCTTAGTGATCCACTGGGCATGCACCACCACGCCCAGCTATTTTTACCTTTTTTTAAGTAATAGCACCTGAAATCTGTTCTCTCTGTAAATTTTTAATCTACAACACAATAAGATAGTCCTCTTGCTGTACATTGTATCCCTACACTCATCCCACATAACTGCAGGTTTGTGCCTTAAACCTAGCCCTCGTGTCCCTCATAACCATCATGCTATTGTCTGTTTCTATGGGTTTGACTTTCTTTTGAGATTTCACAGATAAATGAGATAAATCATGCACTATTTGTCTTTCTGTTTCTGGCACTATTTGTCTTTCTGAGGCCCTAAGTAACTTAGCAAGACCCTGTCTCAAAATAAAAAGGGATGGAGATATGGTTCAATGGTTAAGTGCCTCTGGAGTCAATCCCTGGAACAAAATAATAATAATAATAATAATAATAATAATAATAATAATAATAATAAGAAGAAGAAGAAGAAGAAGAAGAAGAAGAAGAAGTCGTCCAGAGATAACTGGAGGAAAGGAAAATTTTGTACACTGTTGGTGAGAATGTAAACTAGTGCAATCATTATAGAAAGCAGTATGGAGAGTCCTAAAAAAAAAAAAAAAAATGTTTTCCAACCAAAATTCAACAAAGTTTACACCATCCTAACATATTTCCCCAATAGATTTTCACAGTTCACATGGAATTTCCCTATTGATCTTTCTTTAAGCTAACAATTAAATGAAAATCTGTTGTCCGAGAGAGGTAGTACATTGAAGTATAATTGCCCAAAAACTTGATTCTCATCCCTGAGTTCTTCTTCATGCCCAGCTGTTCCCCTTTCAATTTTATCAAAATAAGATCCACAAGTTTTCTTTCTACGTAGCCCCCAAACCATTCATCCCCTACCCCCACCACCTCCCTCCAGGCTAGAGAACAAAATCTAGAACCAAACTCCTTGAATCTGAATTTTATCCCTGCCCCTCTCCAGCTGCATCCTCTTGTGCAGGTTAATTTTGTGAGGCATCTGCAGATGTCACACTGATCCTCTCCTGCCCCAGTGTTACCTTATGGGCTTCCCTAGGCAGATGGCCTCAGCTGTAGACAAGCATTCAGTGGAAAGTAAGACCTTTAGGCACAGCCATTTGGCACTGTGACAGTCTCAACTCTTGCTGCTGATGGGCAAGTACAGTGCCCTCCCTCATGGTTAAGAGCTAGGGCATTGGTGATTGTTACAGACCCAATGTTTATGTCCTCCAAAATTTATATGTTGAAGCCTTCACCTCCCATTTTGCTCTATTTGGAGATAGAACCTGTGAGGGAAGTGACAAAGTGAATGGAATCATAGGGTGGAGCTCCAATCCAATAGATCTGGTTCCCTTATGAGAAGAGGAAGGGACACCAGAGCCAGCTCTGGGCACACACACCTCCCTCGCCAGGAAAGGCCATGCAAGGACATAACTAGAAGGTGAGTATCTACAAGCCAGGAAGAGAGCTGACCTCAGAAACTGAATCAACCAGGACCTTAATCTTCAACTTCCACTTCTAGAATTGTGAGAAATAAATTGCTATTGTTTAAGCCACCCATGGGGTTTTGTTATGATGGACTGAGCAGACTGATACAGTGGCCATTTAAGCAGGGTTTTTAATGTCTCTGAGCAAAGCCTCATTTCCTGAACTGTGGAATATTTTTATCTGCATTTATTTTATAAGTCCTGTATTTTCCCTCTGCCCCCACTACTGTCCTTCTCAGATGCATTTATTAAAAAAAAAATTGGCACAGATTTAGTATAGGAAAGCATTGGATTTCCAATAAAACTTGTCAGTAGGAAGCCCAGCCTACAGTCATCTCTCTTGTATTGATTTATTTTTGCAGATAATTTCCAATTATTGGCGGGGAGAGGGGTGGGGGGAAAGCTATAAGTGAATGAAGAAAGAAAAATCTTGAATCATCCTCAACATTCTCCAAGGGTTGTTCTCCAGAGAATCATCTGCCATCACACCCTGCCACCTGCCACCTCTGCTTCCTCTGCTTCCTGAACATCTTCTACCATAGCCATGGCTGCAATTCTGACCATCCTTCCCCTCCTTCTCTCTCTCCCTCCCCCTCCTCTTCCTCTGCCCCCTTGGTGATGCTCTCTGCAACACCCTCACAGGTCTCTATGCCTCAGGTCTTTCCTCCTAATCCACTTCCACTGCAGCCATTGAAGTCCTCAGATGTTCCACTGTTGGTCTCATTTCTATGCTTCAAACCTGCCCTGACTCCCCAGTGCTCTTCCAAGAAACCCAAAGCCCCTTAGGGTCTCCCCATTCTCAGACTTACCTTCTCTGATCCAGCACCGCTGAGTTTCTTTCAGTCCCTCAGAAGCCCCTGCTCACCTTTCTCTAGGTCCTCTGCTTGAGGCATTGTGCTGCCTCTCACCCTGGAGCTTATTTACTTCTCCTTATCCCTCATCTCAGCTCTGCTGTGACTGTCCTGGAAATCTCCCCTGATCCCCATTCTGGGATGAGCCTCAGCTCAGCTGCTGTTGCAAGCCATTCTGTCATCACCCGCATTTCCTGATTCCCCAGTTTTCTCACCCCAGTAAGCTCCTGAGGGCAGGGACTCTGGCCACCTTCTGTCTCTAGTATCCAATTGGTGACAGTGTGTGGCACTGAATGGGCTTTAAATCAGATATTAAACAACTGTGCCAGGCTGGGGTTGTGGCTCAGTGGTAGAGCACTTGCCTAGCATGTGTGAGACTCTGGGTTCAATTCTCAGCACCATATAAAAATAAATGAGTAAAATAAAGGTTCATCAACGTCTAAAAATATGTTTAAGAAAAAAAAAAAGCAACTGTGCCATTTACCGAAGTTCAAAGAAATGCTTGCAGACTAATTTGATTATACCATCAGACCTCTGGAATGTGTCCCTTTTCAATGATTCTGCTTGGGCCTACATTTACTTTTAACTTTTCCTTTCATTCGTTCCAGCCCATACATAACCAGGAATGTGATAATTATCTCAAATAAGCTCAAATTTACTACCCACTATCGGTGAGCAATGAAGGGCCTCTCTGAGTCCCTGGGCACACTCCTGGGTCTGAAAAGGGTTTTCCTTGCAAAGTGGCCCTCCTAGTGCCCAGGGGGAAGCAGTGGCTTTGTGGACTTGCTGAGAGATGGGAGATACCCTTTCCTGCTAGCCTGGATTCCAGCATCAAAGGGAACTGGAATGGTGGGAAAGAAGAAAGGGGAAGAGGCAGAGAACAAAGGGAACCACCTGTTAGATCTCACCTCACCTCCTAAAGAGGAGGTAGTAGTTATGGGCTGTTGATACTCATTTTATGAAATCCATTTAATCTTTTCTTCCTTTGGTTCTTCGGTGTGTGCATGGAGCACTTAGGCATTTTCCATTGAGTTCCTGTGAATAAAAACACTGGTCCCTGAGGTAGACAGGAGAGGAAGAATGGATTTGCCCCGTATGTGAATTTGCACTGGAAGGATCTATCTGTGCTTTCCGTCATCCTCTGCAGAGTTTCACTTTACAGCAGCCCTGGGAGTACCACGTTTGCCCACTGCACCCTAGTTAGGACACTGGCGTGGTAATACAGGGTTACCTTTTGCCCTAATGTGCCCTCAGGTCTGTCATTGGGCTCTGCTGTGCTCCCAAAAGAAAGACCAAGGAGACATGGCAGGGCTTGCCCAGGCCTCAGGTGTGTCTCTAGAAAGAAGAAAGGTTCTATGTTTACCTGCCGAGGACATTGTTCTGGTGCCCAGTTAGCAGCTTTGTTCACTTGTGCACAACTTTTGTCTTTCCTAGAAAATAATATTGAGTAAATCATACAATTCACAAATTTTGGAAAAGCCTTATTTGAGGTGAATCCAACAAATGTTTCAGATACACACATTCATAAAACCATGAGTAAAATATGAAGGAATATCATAACAGTATTCTCTGTTGCTCTTAAAATAATTTTTTTTAATGTATCTGTTTTAGATCTGGAGTTCAGACTCTGCCCCACAATGCCAAGGTTCATTACAACTATGCCAACTTCCTGAAGGACCAAGGTCGGAACAGGGAAGCCATCTACCACTACAGAACAGCCCTCAAGTAAGCGCCTTGCAGGGAGGGCACCGCTATTGTGCTGTAAAGATCCTGGTTTATTTCACTCATGCCCTCCCGTACACGAGTGGTTATGGGTTTCTATTGAGGGTGATCGTATCCTTGGAGGGAGGATATTTCTTGGACTAGGAGTCTTTTGGCTCACTATTCAGTGCTGTTGTTAAGTGTGGTAACTCTGCCTTATTTCTCACTCAATGTTTTTTTGTTTGTTTGTTTTGTAAGTTTTTATTGCTGCCCCTTATTCAGTGAAGTAACACTCCATTGAATACATTTGTGCAAACAGGAGTTGGTTATTAAAAATGTATACTGGTCACTTTATAGGATATGTATGCCAGTGAATTCTCAATTGCATGTATATAGGAAGATACTTGAGTATAGAAATGAAACACTCTGGTGGGTATATTAAATCAAAAACAATGAGAAAATACTTGATCACCATGTTGGGAATATGTTAATTGTGTGTCTGTGTATGGTGTGTATGTGTGTATTCTCTAACACTGTTCTTGTGTTTTCCATTGGAAGAAAGAATACCTTTGATATGATTTTAAGGGAAAAGTAAAACTTTTAAGTTTTTTTGTAACCAGCAGTAGTCTGTGGGTACTCAGTGGAACTGAAACTCTGACTTTATGGATGGTTTTCTCTAAAAGTTCCCAGATAATAAATGTATTTAACTTGTAACATGTGGAGACATGATGTTATAGTTTGGATCTGGAATGTCTCCCAAAGGCTTCTGTGCTAAAGGCTTAGTCCCCAGCCTGTGGTGCTCTGGAATACATGCCCTTAAAGGAAGCAGTGACACCCAGGCCCTTCCTCTTTCACTTCTTCACCAGCGATAAGCTGAATAGTTTACTCCATTCTCTTTCCGGTCATGATGCTTTGCCTCCCCACACGCCCATAGCAATGGCACCAACCAGTGGTGGACCAAAACTTCCAAAATTGTGTGCCAAAATAAACCTTTTGACTTTATAAGGTGATTATTCAGGTATTTTGTCATTGTAATATACATGATAATTAAACATAGCCTTGGAATCATCAGTTGTTAAATAGAGCAAGGCAAATCCTTTCTTATTGAACACTACTGATGCTCACAGAAACCTCTAGAAGAGAGATTGATTCACATTTTGTTAAATTTTCTGAGACTGTTCCACTTTGAGACATGATTAAAATTCATATGCCAAGCAAATCATACTAAAGTGCCTACCTGAATTGTCTCAGGGCTTAGTTTGAAATCATTATTATATTCTACACAAGCATATTGTTTATCAATCAAAAACTTTTGGGCTTTAGGACCTGCTTACTTAATATTCAATATAGCAAAAGTTTTAAATCATATATATCAAGATTGTGATCGAATATTTTTTCAAATATTACAACAAACTGAGACCCAGAGCAATAATCGTAACCAAGCTTTTTTTGTTGAAGAATACTACTTATTCATTATGGACTAGAAGGTAATCTATAAGATTTAATAAAGAATTGCATTTGTTCACTGGAAGACAGTTTTCAAAATGTTTGCAATTCTTATTTCTGTTGGTTAGATTATGGTTTGTGTTTTTGCTTTTATATTTTCTTGTGTGTTCCAGATGTTTCACAGTGAACATGTATTGCATGGATTATGACCTTCATAATTAATTAATGTGTAATGCTTTTCGGTGGTATTCTTGAAGGGAGGAAAAGAACAACAAGTTGTCTAAAAAATACTGATTGGAAAAAAAATGTATCAGTCTCATAAATTTGTTTCATTATAACAGACGATTTCCTATCAAATTCAAATAGAAAAATAAGGTAGGCCCTGAGGCACAGTGTGAGCAAAGGTGTAAATTAAACAAAATTCTCTGGCAGTTGATTTTATTGAATTATAGTAGCTGGGTGGGTACTTCTGCTTCTTTCCTGTGAAACAATAAAAATAAATGTTTGTTCCAGCAATGTGCTTCTGGAAGAAATATATCCCTTGAGAAATGGGGAAAAACAATTAAAGCTATAAATGTACTGTCTAGTAATTAGTGAATTATTTAATGTTCTCAGACCAGATCCAAAATACTTATGAATAAAAATATCATTGTTTTTATGTGATTACCACTGGGATAAATATTCAGCAGAGGTGGATACTTTTTCTTTTCTTTTTAAATAAATTTCCACTCTTCATGTTAGAGAGTAAAGGAAAAGTACCAGGACTGTCCATCATTTTGATGATTATTTATCCTTAGAGATTGGAAGATTGCCCTTATTTTCGTAATGCTGTTTCTTTGTGGACATTGCTGAGTCAGGAATTCTTCTCCCTCCCAACTGCTCCACCCCTATACTTTATTTTTGTGTATCCAATGTTTTGTGTATTTCTTCACCGTAAGAAAGAGAGTGATTAGGGAAGTTCTAGGTTAAAGGTGAAATGACCTGAAATCAGTTCCAGCAATTATCTATGACTGTTGAAATGACTGTGCAGAGCCCAAAGGCAATGGTGAAATGAGCCATCAGGGTTGTATCTATAGAGATCTCTTTCTGGCTAACTTATCGTTCTAAAAATAACACTGTATTAAGTTGGTAATTATATACAACATAACTATTCTGGTTCTTTTAAACTGTATGTTTAAATAATGGAGTACTACTACTGACTTCTCTCTCAGTATATTTCATTTATTTTTTTTTCAGTTGTGCTAGAATAAATCTCCCCTGGAAAATGCTGCAGCCAAGATTATATATTCAGGTTAAGACCCAAATCATGAAAAAAGAGAATGAGAGGTCAGAACCCTTTCTTGAAATCCTCAACAAACGTTAGTGTTAGCTTTGCTTTGCTATGAGGAGTAGCTCTCTGTGTAGACCTATTATAGTACTATAAAGCTTTGGATTCTCTGTATAGGAGAATTAGACCACTACTAACATATTTGTCATCTGGCTCCAAAGCTTTCTGACCACTCAGTTACTGTGGAGAAGTTCCTGCCATTTCACCCCATGTGATGGGAATAAAAAGTCCAGAGACTGACCAACAATTCAGCTCTTTATGCACAAGATCTCCCAAGAAATGTCTCATCCAATAGACCCTAAAGGAGAAACATTAACCTGGCTTAAGTAAAATGCAGAAGTTATTGAATGTGTACTTAACCATGTATGTACATTATTGATTAGCTTAAAAATTCAGTTGAAAGTGGAGAATCCTGAAGCAAATTATGCACAATATTGAACATTTTATTTTATCCTGAAATTTCCAATGTATCTTCACTTATGGATCTTCTGTTGTCAAACCAAGTCCTTTTCTTGGAGTAAGAGACTACTGATTAAAATCTGCAAAAATCACATCCATAGTCCATTGCTATAATTGCCAGTTTTGTCAGTTTAAAGAGTAATAAAAAATTAAGGATACTTTCTGGGTATGGTAGCCTGTACTTGTAATCCCAGATACCTGAGGCAGAGGTTCACAAGTTTAAGGCCAGCCTGAGCAATTTAGCAAGACATCCCAAAATATAAAATAAAAACTACTGAGGAGGTAGATCAGTGTTAGAGCACTTGCCGAGCATAGGTAAGGCCCAGGGTTTAATCTCTAGTGCTGCAAGTTAAACATACTTAATTTGCAAAGTTAATTTGAGTAGACTATCTCAGAATTTTTAGAGTTTTGTTCTTCAGTCCTTTACAGTTCTCACATCGAAGACAACAGTATTTTGAACAACTTTTCTTTTTAGTATATATTTACTTATTTTATGTGGAAATACATCTCTTTTTTCCCACATATTTTGTCTGCTTGCAAAATATTTCATTGCAGTGAACACTACAACTGAAAAAAAAGTTAAACGCAACTGACTTTTTAAGTCATTAACTCCATACATGGGAGCTGAAGGCCCAGACTCTCAGAGAAAGTTTGCTAAGTTGTAAGTATCCACTTATATATTTTGGGATATATTTTATATATATTTTATATACTTAGGGAATAGAGAACATCTGGAAATCTGATGACACAATTAACACACTGTTCTCGGAGTTTTTACTATAGGTGACAGAGTCATGTAATCTGTTTTTCATCAACCATTTCATTTCCCTGCATGATTCAATTACTGGTTAGTTAAAATAGGTTGGTTATCAAGAACCCAGGGATGGAGAATAAAGTTTGCCTTTGTCCAGCACATCAGAAAGTCCTGTCCACGGTCCGCAGGAAACTGTCACATGTTCCACAGAACATTTGCTCACTCAAATGCCCTCTCCCTGCTACCCCAGTTCAGTAAGCCCCTGCCACACCCAGGTTTGCTGATGTATCCCAGGTGGGTGAGCAGCAGATGTGCAGTATTGTAGTCTCATAAAAGGGCTGTGATTCTCAGTCACCCAGGCAGCAGTGAAATTCTTTTCACAAGAATGTTTTCAATGTGAAATATACAATTAAGATTTCACTGGCACCACCACCCCAGAAATGCTGTTGGGGATACATTACCTATCCTAACGGTGGCTTGGGTGTGCTGGGGCAACCATGGGACCACTAGAGTGTGGCCTTGTCCATACCTAAGCAGTTATCGTATCTATAACTGATGTTTTAAACAAAAAATCCAAAAGCCAAGAAAGAACTGTTTCCAAAGGTGTTCAAAGTTCTGACCAGAGTATCTTCCATTGGCATAGCTAAAATTTTTAAATTATTGTTCCCTTTCTTATTTTTATTTTTGATATTTCATTGGCACATTACAATTATATGTAATGGTGAGATTTGTTGTTACATATTCATTCATATGGCGGCAGAACTAAATTTTCTTTTGTGCTCTTAATGCTTCTGTACAAAAGAAATCTCCACTCACTATTTGATTGGCTGACACATGGGAAAGGATAAAACTAAAATCTTTCTGACTAGAATGTGTTTAAGTGTATAAAATAGAGACTTGTCATGCTAATAGTGCTTATTGATCTAATTCTTTTGTATTCTTTCCTGGATGGATAACTGGAATTCTACAAGGAGATTCCATTAGACTAAGATAAGTGTGTGTGGAAACTGGAAATAATAAAGGAATGAGTATTGAAAA